GCAGCAGAACATAGGATTAGGCCTTGGACTTTAAAACCTGCATTCTTGAAATAAACTTTCTATTCTTAATAATACAACTATTTTATTTAGGTTTTGACAATTTTGAGAAACTGCTTGCTGGAGCCCACTGGATGGTAAGTCCTTGAATCTTCTCAGCAGCTGCTCTTTGGGACTGGGGGAAATGGTTGACTGTGGTCTACATGCAGCCCTCAAGTTATAGCAAATTGCTGCCAGTGATGCCCTAACCCTTGCAGGACAGGATTCTGAGCTATTAGGCTAGGTTAGAATTCCCTCTGGCTAACATAGCCTTAGCTTTCAAAACAATGAAATGTTTTTCCTAGCATTGGGAATTGGGAAGCCCTAAAAATCTCTGTATTCCGTTAGAGTTTTGTATTGGGTCTTCTAGGGGTCCACCTTGTCCTGTTAATCCAGTTTTGTTTTTATGCTGTCGCCTAAAAGGACAATCACTTCCACTCAGCTCCCCTGGAGAAGAATGTCCCTGTGCTGCTGGCGATGTTGGGGGTCTGGTACATCAACTGTTACGGTACAGAAACCCATGCACTCCTGCCGTACGACCAGTACATGCACCGTTTTGCTGCTTACTTTCAGCAGGTGAGATGGTTTGTTTTTGTTCTCCAGGAGAAGGGGTCCTCATATGGCGTGCGGGCTGTGCTTCCTTGAGGGTGGTCCTCGTTTATCTTGTTGGTGCATACGTTGATGGGATGCATGTGTTCCTGAGCAAATCTGGCTCCTCACATGCTTTCAGTGCATTTGCACCATCTCTGGCCAGAATTTGGCCTTATCCCAGCTTTCCTATCCTTTCACGAGAGGAGCAAAGGCCTAAGCCTGATGAAATGTTCTGCCGTTCTTGATTAGGGGGATATGGAATCGAATGGGAAGTACATCACAAGGAAGGGCGTCCGTGTGAACTATAATACTGGACCAATCGTGTGGGGCGAACCTGGAACCAATGGGCAACATGCCTTCTATCAGCTGATTCATCAAGGTATAGAAAAGGGGTGGGGCTTTTAGCCAGTCTGTCTGGAGCTGCTGTAGAAAAGCACCCATTTTGACGTGAGTTCCTCAGTGTCAAATGTTAGTTTGTGGGACCATTGAGTGACTACAGACTAACATTTAAAATACAAAGCTGTATGTTTTAACTGCACAGAACTTGTCTGCAAAATTCTTGGTGGCCAATCCAGTTGTGTGGTGTTCTTTGTACAGCAATCATCAACCATGGTGGGATCAGATTCTGGTGTCCAGATCTTGTTGAGATTCAGCTGGCCTCACCAGCAGACAACCTGACCAGGGAGGGGATAAGGTGACCCGTAGCCCGGCAGTAGTTCCATGTCTCTGCTATTATAACGTGACTTCTTCCTCCATCTTCTTTGCAGGTACTCGCATGATCCCTTGTGACTTTCTGATTCCAGTCCAGACCCAGAATCCAATCAGAAATGGCCTGCATCACAAGGTAAAATGGCTTGCAACCCACTTTCCTCTCTCCTTACTTTCCTCTAACTTTGTCCGTCCGGTTCCCATCCTTTTCTGAACGAGCAACCTTCCTGTCCTAAATAAGTTCAAAGAGACAGTTAATGGGTCGTCTTCTGGAAATGATGCCAAATGTTGAGAAAGGGTATGGGTGACCGATTTGTGGAGCTTAATGGACCCATCTCAAGTTGCAGACTTGGAGGAGACTCTGGCTGCTGGGAAGGCAAAGCAAGGCAGGACGTGGATCCATGGAGTAAAGACCCTATTGTGACCCAAGAGCCTTGATGAAGTCACCTCAAGTTGTGTCAGATCATAAACGTGATTTCTTGGGTCCCCTTCCGTCTGTACTGGCATTCTAGAATTTTAGCCAGAGAAAGATGAAAGGTTGAGAAATTAAAGCCAGAATATCCGATGTGAAAATGTGCCTTTTGCCACAGAAAAACGGTGCTCCTCAGCCCCATCAAACAGTGGTGGCATAACAAAAGAAGAGATAAAATCTCTGTACTTCTGCCATATTTAAATTTATCTTTTCTAATGAGTCTATTTCTCTGTTTTCAGGGAAAAGTATACAACAGCTCAGCGTAGGGAGTTGCATGTTAAATTCGATGCTCTCCTAATTTCCTTAAGCTGGACTTGGTCAGGACAGATCTAGGCTTGGCCTTTTGGCATTTGCCTTGTTGCCCTGGCGTGCCCAGTGGGCATCTTTTCTCCTCCACGGTGTTCAGGTGGTGATGTGGCTACCAAACTGGTAGCTGCTCTTCAGAAGAAGAGAAGCTGCTTGTCCTGGCCAGCTGCCCAACTTGCCATTCTAACTTCTGGCTTTTTCCTGCTAGATTCTTCTAGCCAACTTTCTCGCTCAAACAGAGGCCTTAATGAAAGGGAAGACGACAGAGGAGGCCCACCAGGAGTTACAGGCTGCTGGACTGAGTGGAGAGGCTCTGAAGAAGCTGCTTCCACATAAGGTACTTGGAGTGAGTCCAGGTTTCCTCCAGATCTCAGTGGAAGCCCACTTACCGTCCCTTCCTTTTGTTCACTGATTTGATCAATGAATGATGGGTTGGATGGTCTCAAGAGCTGGGCCTCAGGAGCACCATAGGTTGATTTAGCCTGCTGCTGCTGCTAATTAGGAGCTTTCGGTTTGTTCAGAGGATGAGCACTCCAGTCCACCTGGATGTGGACTGTGTCATGCTCAAGCTTGCTTTAAAAGGACGCAAGGAGTCGTGGCTGTTTCTTCCAAAGAGGTTGCAACCACAAGCTTCTCTGTATGGGAATGCCTAGGAACGTGGTTTATGTTCATGAAGCCAATACTAAACTTTCTTGACTTGAGGACATTTTTAGGATCTGGTGTTTTGGGGATGGAACAGAGAACTGTTAATATTTTGTAGCTAGCAGATAATCTGTTTCTTTCTTGAAAGGTCTTTGAAGGAAATCGTCCAACCAATTCCATTGTCTTTACTAAACTTACTCCATTCATTCTTGGAGCCTTAATTGGTAAGTTTTTCCTCTTCCATATTTTTGTTTCTCAAGTATATTGTCTCAAAAGATTTATTATTAATACTGCTTTTGTTGAAAACAATCTCTTTCCAGCAATGTACGAACACAAGATCTTTGTTCAAGGAATTGTATGGGATATTAATAGCTATGACCAGTGGGGGTAAGTGTCCTACCACATATCAATTATTAATACTGGCAGTTTTTCCCCCACTCACTAAGATGTTATCATGGCTTTCCTGGGAGTTAGAAGCTCCTTACTTAGTCAATTCAATTCGTTTGGCTGCCCATCTCAAACAAGTGATTCTGGGCAACGAACAGTCCTAAAATCGATTAATGTGTTCCTTACAAGGCAGAATGAATTTGGGCTGACTGATTTGGAGAAAAAGAATTGAATCTGGGCCCATTTCACAGGGTCTTAACTGGAGACCAAATGTGCCTTTTCACTGCAACACAAAAGTCATAGCCATAAAACCTCTTTTTGGTACATTTTCTCTCAGTTCAGGGTTTAGCATATTGAATGACCCGGTCAACTTTTAAGGCTCGGATTCAAATCTTTTCTCAACGTTTGAGAAGTTAGTTTGGTAACATTTTACCATTTAATGTTTGCGTAGTCATGGACTTGGTTTTCGTGCTGTAAACGTTTGTGACAGTGTGCCAAGCCCTAAATTGTCGATTACAAGGCACAGTGTTTGGATTCCCACTACAGACAAAATACGTTTTAGTGTGGTTTTGACATCAGGCCACTGTTTCAGCCAGCTGCCATCTCCTTCTATATTACAAAGGGATTTCGGAACAATTGAGGACCCAGATTGTTGGGGGCAATGTAAATATATATATATATATATATATATACATACACACACACACACACACACACACACACACACACACACACACTGCTTACTGGTGTACACCGCTTAGAGAGTGCTTGCACTTAAAGCGATATATAAGTCTCATAAATAAATAAATAACTAAATAAAATTGGGGACAGTGAGAATAGGAATTTGGTGCTTGTTTTAAAGCTTTCACTCTGGAGCCTGAATTTTCCCCCTCTTTTCCTTTCTTAAGTGTTGAGCTTGGAAAACAACTGGCAAAAAAAATTGAGCCTGAACTGGCATCCGATGCACCAGTCACCTCCCACGATGCCTCAACTAACGGGCTGATCGCCTTCATCAAGAAGAACCGAGTCTGACCGCAACAGGCTGCCGGCCCGATGCCCAGATCACTCTTGTAGCTGCTGCTTTGTTAGCTGCTTCCCAGGTCAGACTTCTCACCAGTTCTGGCCTCGTTGTTCTTGATGGTTAGCTTTAGTGTATCGGAAGCCGTGTTTGCAAAGGAATCCTTAAACAAATCTAGAAATTTGAATTAGTGACCGTTTCATGGCAACTGTGACATGTAGAGCACCGCATCCCTCTTGTGTCCGTCCCCGTGCCTGGTCCTGCTGTGGACGGGAGCAGCCTGTAGAGGGTGGTTAAACCCTTTCCGTGTTGTCTTGTGAAGATCCAGCCTTACCTGCACAGAAATAAACCAGAATTAATCATCACATTTCTCTTTCTGTTCTTCTTTATTTGGACTGTACCTTATCTTATCAGTGTACAGAGGGAGTTAAGCATCCTGAGAACCTGCAGAGTTTCATCCTCAGAAAAAAGGCTTCAAGCTACCTCGAGACTTCCAGTTCAGGGATCAGTGGTGGTCTCCATATTGACCACTTCTGGTTCTCTTTGATGTGTGTCTCCTCCTAAGTTTATTTTGACATCAGAAGTCATCAGAAGGGGAAAAAATTGCTGTCAATTGAGGTAACACACATCCACAATATTCAGAGGTTTGTTGGGGCATGTTGAGGGATTCTAGACCCCATGATCCCCCCCCCCTTTTGTTTTCTCTGGTTCTGCCCTTTGAGAAAAGGTTGAGAATATCTAATGGTCCGCAATCCAGTTTGGGAGCATCAAATTCCATATCTCTTAATTTCCACAGAGCCACTTTGTCGAAAAAGAATGATTACACTATAAAATCAAGAGGTAACTACAAAATGTCTTTATTGAAAAAAGCAGATTATAACATCTAAGGTTAAATGAAATTCTGACTTTTAATATTAAAATAACTTAGGATAATAGTAAGTAGCTTTTTTAGATAAATAAATCTACATTTCCCAACATTTATTCTTCAACAATCATGAAAACCAGTGGTAACACAAAAACTCTGACAAGTCTATGAACTAAAAGTCTGACATTTTAGAAAGATATATACAAATATGGTTAAACTAATGTGTTTGCAGATGTAAACTAGACACATAATATACAAATTGCCCATTTTTATTTCCTACAAAAGAAAAATTAACATTGGTCCAAGTTCTTGGAAATAAAACCTATATTCTTTTAAAGAAAATGCAAATATTTCTCAAGAAACAAACTTAATTTAAGTCAAATTATATACTCTAGTTATGGCATTAGTTGAATCACAAGAGTTTATTGGGGCCTAAGAAAAAAAGTATCTTCTGTAGTTTTGGTTTAACTCAATGGAACTCTCCCATCAATTTTTTAATTTCTAAATTATAAGACATCCACCCACTTGTTTTGAAACAATTATTTCCCCATCTCTTCATCTCCTTTGGAACCTTAAGTTACGGGGCAGGATGGGTCTTCCAAATATTTATTTTCTTTTCAGTAAGTGCATCTATCTCGAGTTCCTCGCTCATGCGCATATGAATCAGTGAAAAGAAAAAGGAAGGAAGCTCTCCCATAAATATTTTGGCACAAATGTTAAAAAGTACTTCATCCCTGTGGAGCCCAAACTCTGAAGTAAAGGCAGAGGTGGCACTGAACTCCCAGGTTCCCTCTGCAGGTCCCTCCATCTGGTGCCCCTTGGAGTGGCACCCCGGTCCCTGGGCACCAGCTGGACGGCCACCTGCGAAGGAGAAAGGCTGGTAGGCAGGTGGGCAAAGCAACCAGGCTGGGGCTGTGGAGCAGGGCCAACCCAGCCCTCAAGGAGCTCTGGGGCACACAGTTCAACCGCCATTGATGGGAGGTAGCGTGTTTCACATATTTTGCAGATTTTTTTTTCTTTTCTGTATGACACTTTCTAGCTGCTTTCTCCTTAAAAACCACATTTTTAATATGGAAAAAGGCATTGGAAAAAGAAAACTCAGCTGGATCAGATTTTGGCAAAGGGGGGGGGGGAGCGGATAAAATTTAAAACAAGAAAATGTTTATGAAGAAAATCACCAGGCTGACAAATCCATTTAAGTATGTAAAAGGTAATCCCCTGAAATATTTTAAACAAATGAAATAGACTGGTATGTTTGAAAAATAATAGCCCTTGTACATATTTTAGCTGTTACACTATTTGCTGAAGATTAAGGCAGTAGCAGGAACGGACAAGTTTGACACGAAAACAATCAATGCCATAAAACTCAACAGCAGAGGAACGAAAAGGAAGCAGAAAGCCATCTGCAAGAGGAATGGGGCATTTGGGAGTGGGTGGAAGGGTTCCTTGCAGCAAAATCAAATGAATTACAGTGATGACTTTCTGGAAACTTCAAAACGCGAAAAGGCAAACAGAACCATCTGGAACAGCCTTAAAAGGGCTGTTCTGATGGGAAGGGGAGGGGGGCTCCTTTCAAAGGGCTCCACCATGCTCCCATGCACATTTGGAAGGAACTGCTTACATTCCTTTTGCACTGACTCACCTGGCTCTTCCCTCCCCTCAGCCCTTCAGACTGGGGAGCCATCCCTGCTGCAGCTGACAGGACTCTGAATAGCCTGGGGGAAGGCAGCCTGCTGCTCTTCCATAAGAGGTCTTTTTTTAGTTTTTAAACAGATTTAGCAGTGTTTTTCTATTTGATTCCCAAAGTGTAATTTCACTGAAGTTGCTGGAGCACCAAACAGCTTTACAAAGGGTTAATCCAGGTGGTTTTATCAGAAGAAGCAAGCTGAAATTGTTTTAAAGTCAATGTATATAAGGAATTAATACAATATGGCCAAAACTGAAGCCTCAACTGATGTGGTCAATTTTAATTACATTAATGGCACCTCATTGTCTCAAATAATCAACATAGCTTATTTTTTAATAGAAAAAGTAAACGTTTTCCATATGGAACACAGATTTTCCCAGAGTTGGAAGTGTGCTTTAAAAGTCTAGCCAAAATAGAAGCGTAAGACTTCTTAATACATTATTTCTTATGTTTTAATTTTTGCTATTTTTTTTAAAAAAAACCCTCTATGCTCCAAATTAGGTATTTCCCTGCTATAGATCTGAGCCAATTTCCTTACATCCAAGCGCCTAGAAAAAAGACAATTGTTTCCTGAGATTTTTAAAAACTGTTCAACTGTTTTGTGAGCTACCTAAAAATGCTTTGTGATGGTCAAGAGGCCATGGAAATTATCATGCAAGTGCTGTGGATTCAAGTATAATTAACTTGGCCTTTAAAGCTGGGTTATAACCAAGTTGTAAAAAACAAAAATAGGGAAGCAATTGTTTTTAAAATACCTCTAGAAGTAGGATCTTTGCAAGTCATGCCACAGAACTGCCATCCTTTTAGCTGAAAGAAAGGGAATGGGTGCCCTGTCCGTTTGCAGGAGTCGGGATGTCCAGGGTGATGACAATGGGGTGGCCACAACCAGGCAGCTGAAATCACCATCTTGACCTTTTGATCCTTCCTGCAAACAGTCCAAGCTGAATTTATTAGCGAAAGTCAGTTTGAAAACAGTGACTTTGAGAAGTGCCAAGTGATGTCTGACAGGTCCTTCTTGACGAGAGAGCCGGCTTCTTTGCCTGCAGTCACCTGCTGCACCCAGCACAAGGATCCACTTTCCTTGTACTCAGGAAGAGAGGGCAACCACTGGGGCTTCTACCCTGGCCATTTCTGCTGTTCTTTGAGCAAAATCGTTTTGGGGCTCCAGGCTGCATCTGAACTTCGGGATGCTGGGAAGATTCCTTTCAAAAATAAGTGGTGGCAGGTCCAAAGAAATGGATGGGACAGAAACTTAATTTGAGTGAATTCAAATCTGAATTAAATTTAATGAATAAACTTATACTACCTGTATATAACTTTTCCCGTTCTGACACATTCACATCTCTGCTGCAGAAGAATTCTACGAAAAAACTAAGGATTGGGAATGCTTATGCCCTTTCCCCACCCCACCCACCTGCAACCCTGCTTTCAATCAGGGAGGGTCCTCTGCAGACAGTTGTCGCCTGTTGGCTCCCAGAAAGCTACCCCGGTCTCCCTAGAGAGCCTGCAGCTCTCCCCTTGGCTATGTGTTCTGCCTGGAAACACTAAACCCTCCCATCCTTGCCGAGCACCCAAGAACCATGCCTGACAAACCCTAAAACAGGAATGCTCTCCGTCCTTTCATTCACGCATTTTGCAGAGAAACCCAACAAAAGGCCAAGATGGAACACCCACAGGTATCCCCTACATTCTAGTCAGTTGTTCCTTTTAAGTCACATTCACTTTGGCGGTCACTCTTTTGGCGCATGCAACAACCACTCTGCCTCTCAAATTATGAGAACCACAAGGCCAGGGTGCGAGGAGACCTAAAACACGATGGAAGTTTTTTGGTCTCTTTCCTATTGGAAAGCTAATCTTTCTTCTGGGAGCTCACACAATCAACAGTAAAAATGGCAACAAGCCAGTGTTAATGGATGGCCAGTCATCCCAACAGCTCTGACACCGTGCCCTTTTCCCATCCAACCCATGAGGTGCACTACTTTTCAAGTACCGGCATCCTGGAAAGAATTACTTGGGCAAATTGTACACCGAGCCAACCAAAGAGGTGCCCCCCTTCCTTTCCAATCTTAGAAGCAACAAATAATGGTGGCTGCTTTGTCTTTCTAAAGCTCTCTTTCCAGCAGGTCTGTTCCTCCTGGCCTTGAGTAGATGGGGAACGGAAGCCTCAGAGCTCTGTGATATGCATGGGGTACCCAGAGGGAGAGTGTGCCGACACTTTAGTGCTCAAGCGCCTGATATGACAGGTGTGGCAGAGCAGGTGTCTCTCGAGGGGATAGCATCGGCGGCCTTCCTCGTCATTCAACTGGAGTCCACAATCCTAAGGAAAAGAAGACCACCCATCCGTTAGTGGCCAGTGGACTTAGGATGCTTGAAGCAAGTTTCTGGGAGACACAATGAGTACAGATGTCTATGGAGATTCCCAAGCCATCCAGGCCATGATTGTGAAGGTGCTTTTCAAAAGGCAACTGGACTTTGTTTCTTCCGTAAAGAAGATTCTTGGATGACAAGTGAAAACATCTTCAAGGAAAAGAAAATCCGGTTGACTTTTGAAAAACACCTTTGGGATAATGAGTACAGCTAGTCCTCATTTAGCTACCATTCACTGTGACAACAGTGAGGAAAAAGTAACCCCATGACCAATCTTTGCATTTATGACCTTTGCAGGTCTGCAAAGCAAAGGAAAGGTGAAATAAGATATTTTCCAGGCATTTCTTACTACCATCTCCCAAATTTCTTTATTTTGCCATATAACCCATTGTGCTGTCTTTTATTTTTTATACCTCTTTATTACTGTTACTGTTTTATAGTGCTCTATAGATCTTTGCAACCCACCCCCGAATGTAAATTAAAGAGTAGCGGGAAAATGCTTTAGGCAAATTAGGGAACAAAAGCAAAACATACCAGGAATACGCTGCCATCAACCGTTTTGAATGGGTTTCTTTTCCTGGGGAAAAGACTAGACTCAAACTGCTCCCTCCCTCTAACTAGGCTGTTTCAGCAACTCTTAAGCTTTACCTCGCAGTGATAACATTCCACATGATAATCCCTGTCCATTGACACCACCCGGATGGTTTCTTCGCAGCCCTAATTTGGAGAGACAACAAAATAAGGTGAAAATTGGAAAGGCAAGGCAAATAGGTACTTTGAAACCTCCCTCTGCAACTGTATAAATCCCTTCTTGTTATATAAGTGCCACAATGAAACCCATTTCCCAAATATTTAATTTCCTTCCTTGCAAAATTAAGTGCAGAAATTAAGTTTCCTGAAGATGTACTTTCTCTGCAAAATTTGGGCTTGGTCCTATATCTATGATAAGAAAGACCGGAGCCCATATCAGCAGAGTGGAGAAAAGGAACACTTTAGGGATCTCACACGGATCAGACATCAGAGGGCAGAGGGATCCCTTTGGAGGGCTTGGCATGGGTCAATCTGTAATGGAAGCCAAGCCAGGGAGCTTTCCCGTGCCTGAGGTGGCAAAGTACCTGCAAGCCAGCACACAATGGCTGTGCCGGGGCTAAAGTATTAATCAAATGACAAAGAAGAAAAACGTACCTGGACTGGCAAAATAGGCTGGTTACAGGAAGCACACTTGGGTGCAAAAACCCTAGATTTGGGGGGGAGGGAGGGGGGAAAGAGGTTATATTTTTCTTGAGAAGCAAAGAAAGAGAATGGTAGGCAGCATTTTAACAACTGAGAGCAAACAACGTTAGCTAATCCCAACCCCATCCCATGATTGTGTTGTGTTTTTTTAGACCACAACAGTATGAAATCTAAATTCAGCTATGGATTTAAGTATATCCTGCCTTCTATTCAAAGCAGGACAGCCGAACAAAATGACAATCCCATTAACCTAAGACAATCCCCCCCAACTGAATGGCTGCCTAGTGAGACCTCTTTGGTCCCCATGAACCATCCCTTTAATAGATGAGATTTAATTCATCTCCAAATACCATTGGTGGAAATGTTTAAAAGAAAACAGAAAACAGAGTGATCTCCTTTCAGTATAGGAAAAGTTCCTGTTACATTTTCAATGCAACATACAGAAATGTTGAACACTAGATCGCCTTGCTGTCAGTCCTTAACTGGACTTGATCCTGGATATTGTCTCCTTTAGCAGCAGTCAACCCTTCCTCATGACCCTTTTTTCTTTTGCCCTGCAGAGCTCTGCATTCTCACGTGTGATAGTCTTTGACACAGTAAATATTGTTCTCCATGTCTACAGTGAAGGGTATGCCATCCAGACATTCATTGCACACCACACAGCGGAAACAGCCAGGATGGTATGACTTCCCAAGAGCTTGCAAAATCTGAAAAAGAATCATAGGTCACAAATTACGCAAAGTGTGGTCTGTTCCCCTTTAGGCATACCTTCCATCATATAAAACCACCTTCAAAAAACTGTGACTGGCTGGGTTCATACAACAGACTGAACTTGGTTACAGCACAAATCTGTTTTCTGGCTTCACACAATAGACTGAAATGTATAGTCAATAGGCCAAATTCTTAGAACATGTTACGATACAAAAAAGTAATAGTTAAAGCTAATCAAGCTTAGTAGGTTGTGCAAATGCAGCTGCTGGTACCTTCACAAACGTGTTCAGCGTAACAGGCAAACCTGGACACAATTGTGATGCGAGGTGTGTTTGTGCCTGGGGAGGAGAAAGAGCACTGCAGCCCAACTGACCCAGCAGCCCCTTTTTTCTGAAGCCAGGACTCTTACCATTTCCATGATGAGATGGCCACAAATGAAGCACTTGTCTGCCGTCTGCTGAAACCCCGAATACTGTTTATAAACAAAAAAAAAAAGGGGGGGGGAGTTATAAGGCTTTCCCTTTTAGTTCGGTTAAGTAACAAACACATTTTCTTTCCAGCAATCAGCCAAATCTTCACGATTAACTACTAAACTGAAAATGAGACTGCAAAAGCGAGAATGGTTCTTCACACATTACTTTCCTAAGATTTTCACAATAGCACTGAAGAGGATACGTTTTTGATCCACGCCTAAAATCTCACTTACTAGGAAGTCTTCTTCACAGTAGACCTTTCCATTAACATTGTAGAAGGCTTTCCCTCGTAATCTTCTCCCTGTTAAAAATATTGCACTGTCAGACCTTTAATATTTTGGGGATATTATAAAAGGGGATTAATAACAATACAATGGATAGGAATACTTCAGGAGTATCTGCTCAGACTACAGTTGTGGGTACAAAAGCAATTTTTCACATAACAGAAGGGGGAAAGTGCCATATATATGCAGTCATATAAATTTATGTAATTAAGGAAGTTTAAGTTTAATTAGAAGTAAATTAAAACAATTTGATCTTGCAGCTTTCTGGGACTCAGTCCTGAGATGTGGTCCATCAGCTTTCTAAAGCTTGTGCTTTATGCTTTAGAGCAGAGCTTTGGCACCTGGCAGGCGGTAGGCCACCATCCTAGATAAGTGTAGTGAGAGAGTGGAATAAGCTGAAGTGGCGGCAGTGCTGCACAAGCCTGAGGAAGAGACAGCTGGAGCTGCAGGGCTCAGCAGAAGCCCCAAAATCTGCACACATGGCTACAAGCTGATCGGTTCTTCTGCAGAGCTGCCGGGATTTGGCAGAAGCCCCAGGATCAGCGCAGGGCTCCAGATAATTGGCGCTGGAGGTATAGCCGGAGATGCACCGAAAAAGGGGGGGGGGAGAGGAGAGGATATAAAAGGAGGAAGTTGTGGCAGGAAAGGGAGAGAAAAATAAGACAATAGGGAAAGAGAAGGGGACAGAGAAAGAGAGACAGAAAAGTGCAGCCTTAAGGAGAAAAGTCAGCTGGAGGTGCACAGAAGAGAAGAGGAGGGGAGAGGGGAGGATATAAAAGGAGGAGTTTTGGCGGGAGAGGGAAAAAAAGACAACAGGGAAAGAGAAAGGGATGGAGGAGAGCCCAGCCAGCAGGGAGGAAGAAGAGAGAGGAAGAAGGGCCGACCAGCCATCTGACCACCAAGGTAGTGGTGCATATTAATAAATATGGATAAATTCATCATAGATTTGTCAGTGCAAAGGGAAAGTGATTCAGCAAAGGAATTTTAAGAAATTAAAACCGATACTTTTTCTCCTTTTTTTACAGCTTTCAACAATTTATTAGATTATAGAATAAAATACAAAAATATAAAAGCAAGCAGTAGGACACAGTGGGGAGGAAAAAGGAGGAAAAAGTGAGGGGGAGAAGGAGAAAAAAAAGGCACTGACTACTGACTTCCTCTGTTGCAGTAGAACTGAACCTCAACTTTTTACTTTTCCATAATATTATAAACTAGCCATTTCTATAACAACAAATGAATCTAATCAGTAAAACCCCAAATTCCACCCCCTTTTAGTCATCAAGTTTTTGACACCTTGCTAAGCAAGGTGGTCCTCAAATACTGTCATGTCCCAAAAGAGGCACAATCTGTGAAAAGGCAGAAAAGCCCTGCTTTGGAGCAGGGATCCCCAACCCCCAATCTGTGGACCAGCACTGGGCAGCGCCATGCCAGCAACCTGGCCACACAAGCAAGCAAAGCCCCACCCGCGAGATGCAGGCAGCACACAAAACTTTGCACCCTCCGGTCCGCGGAAAAACCTCTATCCACAGAAGCGGTCCCTGGTGCCCCAAAGGTTGGAGACCTCTGCTTCAGAGCACCCCAGAAAAAGCAACTCAAATGCGACAGCCTTCCGACTTTCCTGCCCTTCCTGCTTTCCTAGATACCCTCTGCAAAGCTTGCTCATTTATTGCCCCCCCCCCATTTCAGCATTTCTGAAGTTCTCTGGATTACTTAATTTACATCATGCAAAATTCCAAGAATCCACCTGCATTTATGACTTCAGGGGCACTTCAATCCCCCCCCCAATGTCCTTTAGGTCCCCTGCACTCCATGTTCCTTGATTTCCCCCCCCCTTTGACCCCTTCCTGCTCCCCCTTCTGAGCAAGCATGCCCACCGGGCCCTTTGTGAGGCAGTTTTCTTCCCCAGGTTGTGTAGTGGTTTCCTTGTGAGACCTGGGGAAAATGCCTCACCAAGGGCAGTGGCGTCACACTGCTGTGGTTTTCTGCTGCCGTGCTGGTGCTGCCTGTCCTGGGACTGTGTCCAAGGCAGGCTTCCTGAGGTGGTCAAAAGGTGGAGGTTGGGGAGGCCACTCTCTTCTCTTCCCAAGGTTTTTTGGGCTGGGGTGAGTCCTTGCTAACCCACGTATAATTCTTGGTTAGTGATGGCAACAGAGAGTGCCAGGATTGTACAAGCTCACACTTTATGACTGCACTGCTTAGTGATGAAAATTCCAGTCCCAATTATGGCGCTTATAACATGTGGGGATCGCTTGATCCCAAAAGTTGCAAAGATGCCGTGTGCTACTTTTTCCAACTCATCCATGCACTGTTACCCCTCATCCAGCCATTCTCCTGAGCCGTTTTTACAAACCATGATTCCCTTTGGAAAAAATCAGGGAACCTCTGGGGCAAATTTCAACCCAACATCTCCAGCCCACCCTGCAGAAGGAAGAGAAGGAACTGAGGGTTAATAGTTTATATTTTTCTGAAATGACATTGAAGTCCTAATTTTATATCCAATAATTACTAATTCTCCCCCTCCCTCCCTTTCTTTCTGTTGATATCTTCTGCTCTGCCTTCTCCTTCCAAGAATCACAGACGCTACTGGAATTTGGACTACATCAAAGAATATTTTTAGAGTTGGGGGAGGGAGGGAGGCAGAAGGCTGCTCAGGCCTTCTTTTATCCAGACTTAAAAGTGCCCCCCCCCGCTCTACCCTGTCCTTAAGTGGAGATGGCTTGTAGTGACTTGTTTGGGATCTACACCCAGATGGAAGCTTGAAGCAAGCAAGAGCTTGCTAGCAGAAAAAGTGAAGGAAGGGAGGTGGAGAGGAATAACCTGTTTTCTCATATACAAAATGAGATGTGTCTATTTTACATGGGTTATTGTGAAAAAATCCCCACAGTTCCATTCTGTATACATCAAAAAAAGGCAATTCAAACAATTTCATTAAATGTGTGGCTAAGCAGATGGAATTCAAATTTCTTGTGAAGAGGGCTGAAGGGGGTTGAATCATCCTCCAATTCTCTTTTCCCACCTTCCTTGTTCTAATTTTTTTATAGTATTTTTCCTGGGGATAAAAGCCTATTTTTGTTTCATTATAAAAGTGTTCCATGCAAGTTTTATTACAGAATCCAGTGCAACTTGCAGAATAGTGGGGCCATAATGAGTTGCTCTCATAACTACCCACATTGCTACATTCTGGACCAAATGAAGCTTCTGGATGATTTTCCAGGGTATCCCCATGTTTTGCAATAATCCCATCAGGAGGTGAGTGACCGAGGCATATGTGATAATGAGCAGGTTCTCCTGGTCCAGGAATGGAAGCAACTGGTAAATGAGGTGCAGTTGTGCTAAGGCACCCCAGGCAATGCTGCCACCTGCAGATAACTGGGTATCGTCCCACAGTATTGATGAGACCTCACACCAAGCCAGCAGCTGAAGTTTCCTAGTAGCTTCATATAGATATTGAGAAGGAGCACGGAGAGAACAGGGCTGTCAGGCTCCCTGCAAAGCACGGTCCACCACACAAGAGGTCTCCCGTGTTCCCAGCTGCCTTCGACTCCCTAAGCCAGAAGGATAGGAGAGTTGATGGTACTGAAGGCTAGCTACTGAGAGATCTAGGACATGCTTTCCATTTATGCGTCTGAGATCATACTTTATCAAAGTATTTGTAGTTCTAATTAAAATTTTATTTTCAGAAAGTGAAGTGGAGGTTTTCACTATAGACAGTGTAATACATCTTGCAATATGCAGAGGGTTGGATTATGTGACCTCTTAGGCCCCTTTCAACTTTTACGATTCAATGAACTACTTGACTGTGCATTAAAACTAGCCCTGGCATATGCTCTGGGATGTCTAGGATTTGTTAAGGACTGGCAGTCACCAGCTGGCTTAATGGTCAAGCGTACCTTAAAGGTTGACACTGCTTTGGTTTCATGCTAATCACTTACTGCCATTATCTAACCACCCCCCCAACATTTGTTTTGCTTCAGCACACCTCATTCACATCAAGCAGAAAACAATACCCTAACTAAGGAACTACCAAGGAGAAAATCACACCCACACTAACACTGGCAGGGCAAGCTGCTGTGATATAAACAGGAGCAAACCTCACACTCAGCAGCAGCAGCAGCAGCAGCAGCAATGTTATGACTGCAACCCAGCCACCAACCTCAGCGAGCACCAAGGACTCCACAGTTCAACCCTGAGCTCTCTTCTATTATAACCCTAAAGCTTCACTGGAGATACTTCTAGGAACTTGCATAATTGAGGGCAGAAAAGTAGATTGTTGTAAGACCCTAACAGAGGACCATACTGTGTAGGATTACTTTTGCCTCAAATTTTTTTTAAGGAAACTGGAATATAGTGTCCACCTTTAGAAAAATAAAAGGATAATATGGCTGTGGCACACCTTCTAAACTATTTGAGACACTTAGTAAACCAGCTACTAAATTTAGACCTCTTGCTAAGGTCATAATTTTCAACTTGGTAATTTACCATCCGTATTTTTAAAGCCCTTTGCATCACTATGACAGGGATGTAACGATGCTGCTGCAAAAACTGGAAATAGTCTCTTGGGGGTGCATTATTAGGAGTCTAGGGCTCCTAGACCTGAAGTAATTGTTCTCTGATCTGCACTCGTCTGTGGATGTAATGTCTGAGGTAGGAATAGAACGCCAAGATTCCGTCTGCACACCGTGAAACACTGCTCCCCCCTTCAAGGCCACCCTGCGCAGGTGTTCGACCGATCCAGGCAGTTCCCATAACAAAAGGGAACATAATCTATTGGGCAATGCAATGGACTGAGGGGAGCAGCCAAAGGGGAATTCAAGTTTTAACTATGTGGATTTTGTGCGGGAAGCTGGTTTTACTTCTTTTGTGCCAATGTAGTTTATTCAAAACAAGTGTAACTTTTGGGAAGAACTGTCCCAGGAGTTCCTTTCTTGGATTCGCTAGCTGGACATCAAGGAAGCGTGGGAACCCCCCCCCCATTCCTTGGAGAATGTATGAAAGCCAATCCACTACTTCAGCAGGG